TCCTCGCTGGCGGGGCTCCGGGTTCTACGTCTGTTTTCCTATTTGATGTGCCAGTGAAACAGCACAGAGCTGCCTAATGGTGATTGAAAACTTTGCTGGCTGTATTTCAGCGTGGTTGGTTTCCTTTGGGGGCCTGGACACGGCATTTCGCAGCAGCACTCTGGAGAGGCCGTCTCTGGCTTCACCTGGGGGTCCGTGAGGCCAAAAAAGGCGACTTGGTGCCCCTGTAGTACTTGGCCTCTGTTCTTGGAGAGATCGAGCCCCTGCAGTGCTCCTTCTGGCTGCAGATCGGGTGGGGAGGGTCCGGGGACGGAGGAGACAGGAACACAGAGTCATTTGTTAACGGTCTTGTTCAAGCGGGCTTCCCTTCACGGGCACCCGCGGTTTCTTCTGTAACAGCATCTAGCGAGCGAGTCTCAGGACCGTGTGAGTAAATGCGAGGGCCACACGTGGCCTGGGGGGCTGTCACCACGCGGTCAGGAGCCAAAGGTGGTGATTCTGTTCACCCACGGAAACCAACACGCGGAGCTGACTCCGAACGCGTCTGCTGTTAACGGAGGCTGGATTGAGGGGTTGGCTACTTGGGGTGTGATGGCCCTGAAGGCTGGGGGAGATTCAGGGGGCAGCCACTGCCTGCGAGGTGAGGAAGGATCCAGAAGACCCTGTCCTGTGCGGGGGTGTGTGGGGAAGCCCCCAGAACCCACCGGAGCAGGGAAGCCCGCCCCTTCCTTCTGCAGGGTCCCGGACCCTGCTCCCTTAGAGGCACTGTTGTCCCTTCTGTCCCTAGCAGTCCGAGCTGGTGCAGACAGGGGGACCCGAAACGTGTAAGGTCGTAAAGGCATCTCCTCGAGGACTCCTGCGGGTAGGTGATGGGACTGGGGAAACCCCAGGTCTACAGCTAAGTTGTCACACGAGGCACGTTTTCTGGAGACCGTGTGGTATGTGGTACGTTAAAAAAATCCCATTTTTATGTAAAATAAAAATTTTGTTTTTAGGAGGTAACAGCCCCAAAATACATTTTTTAGGAATATATCTAAACAGGATGAAAAGAGACTTCAGGGAAAATTCTAAAACTGTTGAAAGACCTGAGCGAGGACCCTTCTAAATGGCAACCAGTGCAGTGTTCGCACGCCGGGAAGTTCCGTTTCGTGATGAAAACATCTCAAAACGTGCGGAATGAAGAAGTTACAGAAGACAGCACGCGGTGGGTTTCCTTTCACACAATGAGCGAAGTGCGTGGAACTGAACCATGTGCCTGAGCCTCTGAGCCCTCAGGAAGGAAGACCCCGCTACTGCCCACTGGGGCTCAGCAGCCGTGTCCTGTCCTGCCAGATAAGCCGACGGGAGGTGGATGGACGGGAGGAAGGACACAGCGCTTTGATTTGATGCTGATGTTTAGTTCATGCCAAGTCCCACGGAGGCGGTTAAACCCGGGGCTTATGTAGCATTTTAGCAAGAGGACGCTTACCTTTGTCAAGAAGTGACAGAAGGACACCAGGGTTTGGGAGGGGGCCGCCTGGGTGGCTCAGTCGATGGAGCGTCTGACTTCAGCTCGGGTCACAAATCTTGAGGTTCGTGAGTTCAAGCCCCATATTGGGCTGCTAGCAGCACAGAGCCTGCTTAGGATCCTGTC